ACACACACACACACACACACACACACATACCTCTGAAGTCTTTGGGGATTGACTTGCAGGTCTCCACATTATTCTTTAGGTAGCGCAGTTTCTCCTTCACAGTCTTCATGTTAAGCGTGTCTATTGTTTGCATCTTGTTTACATGTTTATGCAGTCTATCAGCCTATCAGAAATGGATATAATATTATTCTATTGATAATTCTGTTACATCACAACAGGTCACATGTGACCTGACATAGTATAACATCAAATCATTTCTTTCTGTTGTATTTTGCTGCCATTTGCTATTTTAGCTCTACCTCTTTGGAGAGTTTCTGTGTCTCGGAGTTGTTAAGCTGGCTGTGGACCACATCGATGTCCACCTGTAACTGGCTGAGCTCCTGGCCCAGCTGGCGCAGGGACAGTTCTGTATACAGGCCCCTGAAATGCAGGTAGTTGTAGGGTTCCAGCCGAGCCGTAAAGTTGGAAAACTGATCCTGGATCAGTGGAAGACGTTGGCTGGAGAACGTCAGCTGCAAGAAATGCAGACAAAAAAATCCTGTGATATTCTGATCCCAGACTGAAGTTGAAATATTATCTGGCAGACAATAACATAAAATTAATGGTAACAGGAAATCAATTCTGTGGGTATTTCAGTGTTTTTGCTTTTTAAACTTTTTTAAAGTATTTAATATCAAATATTGAAATGGTTATGAAAAGTGATTATTTTACATTATATTATTTTACAAATTTTACTGTGCATACTTTCTCATATCATATCAAATTTCAGTATAAGAGTATAATAAACGAGGAGGTACTTATAGAAAAGAGATTCCAAAAGGCCAATGTGGAATATAACTGAAAAATAAAACACCGTGGACCCCGGCTGTGTATTTAAATCCCAACTGATAATGTAAGTTTAACAAGACAAACAAGCCATAGGTTTTCTAGTTTTCAATATGAATCCCACAAATCTTTTTGGTGTTCAATAATAAATCTGTTGAAGGTGGCAGAGGAATGATATGAAAATATAAACTTCAGTAACACATACATTTAAAAATTACATACCAATATATAGTATATGTGATAATAAAAAAATTATAAATAATGAAACAATAATATTGCAATTGGTACTTATGCTTAAGTAGCAGAGGTGAGTAAAATAATGCTACATGAGTTCTTACCTCTTCTTGTAGGTTATTCAGAGATCCTTCACAGGTATGAACTTCCTCCAACACGTACTTAAACTTCTGAGCAGGGAACAGCCACATGGTGGAGTTTAGCTGGCACACACATGCATTTGCCTTCTTGTAGCCCGACACTCGCTGACTCCGGCTGTCAGCCTGATTGTGGGTACAGCAGGTTAAATCCTGAGGAACTGTTCACGGGCTACTCAAATAACTTTTTCTCCTAAAATACTATATTAAATCATTAGCTTTGAAGTGTAACTTACCGTGGATGACAGCAGTAGCAATAGAAGTATCTGCAGCATGTTTAGCTGGAAAAACTGAGACTGGACCAACAAAGATGCACACACACACACACACAGTGCTCTTCTGTTTTCTCTAATAAACTCACTGACAACAAACACACAGCCTGCTGGCCTGTTTCCTGTCACTGATGGGTTGCGTCACAGACTTAAAAGCAATTGGATGACACAACTAAAAGCATCAAGCTGGACTTCTGTAGGACCCCTCCCGCTTCCTTCATGTATTGTTAATTTATCAGCTCTCATTTCCAAATGTTTTCATTCCTTCCTAACAGGATTATTTCCTACTTTATTAATTTTTTTAATTATTATAGATTTTTGTATTTTTTTTTTTACTAAAACATGACCAAAACAATTAATCAACAAAATCTTAATATCGTAATACAACTACAGAACTGCGTATCTATGTAATATAAGTACTAAATACTGCTGGCAGATGTTATACATTTACTTTAACGTTAAAATGTTAAAACCTGTAGCCAATGGAAACGACGCTTTTAGCATATTGTAACAAATTAATCTGATTTTTGCAAGGGAGAACTTAGATAAAAGTGATACACTCTTAGAAACTAAATAACAAGAGACACTTTTTAAATTCTATCACCTTTTTTATGTTAAACTATTTTTATCAGTTCTGAATAAAAAAGTAAAAAATTAAGCCCTTCTAATCTCTGTTACGTACCCTAAAAGGTAGGCATTTACATTAACATATTAATATGTAATGAAAAGTAGCAACTTCTAAACATGTACTTGCTTAGCAACGAAACCTTATACGTTATCATAAATTATCATTGGAAACTTGGAGACTGTTAAAAGAGCACAATAAATGATTTACTGTAAGATGTTGCATGCATAACACAAACCACAGAATTTAAAAAAAAATCTAATTATTATTGCAGTCTGACTCAAAGTGGACACTTTCAGTTCCTGAAACTTTACCATTACAGGATCTACAAGTAAGATTCAGCATGTATGACTCTCGAAATCTTCAAAATAGATGCACATATTAGTCACTGTCTGCCTTTATGTGCACTGTTAAAAAAACATCTTAAAAAATCGGTAATATTCCGGCAGCTGGGGCGACAAAATACTACCGTAAAATAACAGAAAATAACTTCCTCATAAAAATATGTTTTTTTCCAGTAATGACAATACAGTTTGTTGCGCCAATTTTACATGGGATCTTGCCTTTCCAAGTGCTTTTAGACATTAAATTAGGAACATTTTGACGTGATTAAACAATGAAATTATCTATAACTAGAAAAAAAAAACTGCCAACTCTTGAGCCACAATTGCCCTAAATAGCAATGATAATAATACTTATGTGACGTAACACAAGCTTATAGGAATGATGTTATATACTTTTCCATAGCATTACATTTGAATTCAACAATTCAATCTTTCAAATAACGGACAGATATTTGTGAAATCATGATACATTTGTGAATGTATTTTAACAATCTAAATATACATATGTACAGACAGATACATTTAATAATCATGAAATTCATGTTTTATTACATTACAGTGATTTAACGTTAATTTACATTTGAAATGCGAAATCACAGTCTATTTACGTAACTTTAATGATATTCTACAAGAACAGAACAAAACTGTAAAATGCACAGTAAAATACTTTTATATTAGGATATTCCTACAGTACACCCATACCCGCGACCTTGTGGTTGTTAGTTCACATTCATTGGCCGATGCTTAGTGTCATGTTATTATGTGTCCCAACATCCAATGGCATGTCACATTGTTTTCATGGCCACACCCTCACCCCAGGTGCAGAGGCCTATTTCTGTTCAGGAATGTTGTGAATACTTTGAGATTCATATTAATTGCAATTCCTACCTCTACATTAGTGATGCGCGAATCATGAACGAATCGTTCAATACTCGAGAATCACTTTACTGACTAATGAATCATGATTCACAAGTCCAACTGACTCACTGACTCATCCCTGTTGCTGTTAGCAGCAATGTATCTAGGTTATAATTAAAATTGTGGAGAAAAACACAACATCCAGTATCATAACAAAAAAATTTCTGCTCTGAACTGGAAGAAAAAACCCTGAGTAGAAGCTCACATCAAGAGCTTGTGCTGAATTGTAAGCGTAAGCGAATCACTCAGGTCTCGCTCACCCCCTCCCTCCTGTGCTGAATCATAGAGTGAACGAATCACTCACTCATTAACCCCCTCCCTCCTGTGCTGAATCGTAAGCGAATCACTCAGGACTCACTCACCTCCTCCTTCCTGGCTCACAGCTTCTTCTTCCTCTTGGTTGGCAACCAATGTTAAGGTGCATTACCTCCCCCTGGCTCACAGCTCAGTGAACATTTAGATGAGAAACTATATATTTAACACATTTAAGGAAAATACTAATAAAATAAAAAATAAAAATATATTAAAATAAAATAAAAATAAATAAATGTTTATTAAGCAATTTTGATAGGAAATTGCTTAATTTTAGAAATGTTTTTACTCTTTTTTGCTCTACAAAATAGTTCTTTTCTTTTAGAATCATTCATCTT